ACTATATATCATAATGTTGTTTAGGTAGATTACCGTGAACTTGTCTAGATAATTATGGAAAACTTGATTCATCAATGTGTAAAAAGTGGCAGGAGCATTGGTTAGTCCAAAAAGCTTAACAAGAAATTCAAACGCACCACACTGCATTACATAGGTGGTTTTTGGATCATCTTCATTGACCACTCTTACTTGATGTTAGCCAGATTTCAAATCCAATTCAGAGAAGTACTATGCATGACTCAACTGATTAAAAAGATTTGCTATAAGGGGAATTGAATATTCATTCCTTACCATGACTTTATTTAAAGCTTGATAATCCACATACAATTGTAAACTCCCATCTTACTTCTTTTGAAAAACTACTAGGGCCCTTAAAGGTGCTTTTGAAGGTTAGATGAATCTCACTTGGATCGGCTTGTCTAATTGTTTCCTTAACTCCGCTAGCTCTGAAGGAGCCATCTTGTATGGCCTATTTACTTATGGTTTGACTCCCAAGAGTAATTCTATCTCACGATCAATAGGTCATCAAGATAGTGGGACTCCAAATAGCTATTTTAGCATTATATTTTGAAATTATTCCAAAACCAACTTCACTTTAACAAGTAACAGATTTGTTTTATCTTCACCTTTATAGATGGGCATGCCCACATAAGAAGGCTCTCCCTTTTTAATCCTCTTGTTGAACTAAATAATTGATATGATCATCTTCACACTCTTTAGTAGAATTATAGTTGGCATTACACAAGATTGTTTTCCCAAAAAACATTAAGCAACTCTCAATAGGGAATGAGATGGTTTACGCTTTCATCGTAAATTCCAAGCCCAAAACAAAGTCAAAGTCATCTATAATGGCAATAGTCATGTTCACCTTCCCCTTCTAAGAACTAATCTTAAACTTCACGTCTCTAGAGTTGATTATAATAGTTGAGGCTAGCGAGTTGACTGCTTTCATCTGCTCGAAGTCTTTCCTAACCTTGAGACCACATCTCTTTACCTCTTTCAGGTGATGAAGTTATCAGAGGCCTTCATGTCAAACATGCATTTGGTCCTTTTATCATTTAATAACACATCCACATACATGAGACCTCGTTAAGGGTCTTTCTTCTTCTTTTCTAGTTTGTAAGGCACTAAGAAATCGAATTGAACCTATTTGCGTTGGCTCCTCCTTAACTTCCTTAACTAGGGTTTGGGCTCGAGGTGTTTCCACGCTAGTAGTACATATCGTATTAAGAGTTGCTTGATATGGGTAGTCAGCTACATGATGAAGTCCATTGCATAAAAAATAAGATATTGAGTCTTGAAGTTTAAAGCCCTATGGCTTAGTTGTTTATGGTTAGGGTGTGTCCCTAGCAGGTGGTTTCCTTTCTCCTCCCCCACTAGAGGGTTTGTTAACTCTTAGAAATTTCATCCCACTGTTGGAGCTCGAGCTATTGTTTTTTGATGGAGGGTCTTTCCTTTTATTTGAGTTATCATTATAATCAGTGAAACGTTCAGTACTTGTTGTCACTCAAGTCACGTCCTGCACCTTTCGTTATTGCAATTCCGTCCTAGTCCACAATTTCAAACCCTTAAGAAAATATAACAAATTAACTTTCTTGGTCATGTCTTTAATATCCAACATTAAGGTGAAGAAGTTTATCACAAATTCTTATATTAACCCAGTTTATGTCAACTCTTGCAACTTTTGTTGAGCCAAGAACTCTACATTTTCAAGGAAAAACTGATTTTTCAATTCTCGCTTAAGGCCACCTAAGTGTAGATATGGCACTCACCATTGACAAATTTGGAATGTCACCATAATTTCGCATCCTCGACAAGATAAATTGTAGCCATCACCACCTTCTCTTCCTTCGACTTTGTGTGTATAGCTCGAAAGTGCTATCCAATATAAAAAAAAAAGTTCTCTAACTCCTTTGCCTTTCTGGCCCTTTCATATTGCTTAGGCTTTAGCACTTTAACCATTTTCCCTCGATCTTTTGAGTTTGCATTGGTGTTACCTACATCAATAATCAAGAGATTTAGTTGAGCTTTTAATTTTTCTAAATTTGTCTTTAAGAGTGCTTAATGTATCCCCAGTTTCATCATTCAAGGTATTTATTATCTCTAATAGTTCTTGTTGGACTATCTCAACTTCATTTATTTGCTAACACGTGACCATTTAAACTTTTATTGCAGCCACCATGGCCTTTAACTCATCAATTCTCTGATGGTCCTTTAGTGTATTTTGCGTGGTCACCATGTTTGCTTTTTCACTTAGCACGTCTTGTCCATGCTCTAATACCAATTGTCACGAACTACACTCTTTCGTTTAGGTATGCATAAGTCTGTAAGGTGCTTAAATGGAAGCTTTCACATAAGCCAACTAATAACTTTATTATATTTGAGCAAGTATAAGTAATAGCCATAAATTAGTTTAGGGAAACACTACATCGAAATTATAGGCCATAACAAGTGCCATGTGTGCAACCATTTGAGCCACATAAAGAAAATATTTTATCAATATTGAGATAAGTACAAAGGGACCAAGACATGCCATCATCAAGCCATAGGGGTAACCTTAGATAGTATGTTATACATATACCTTTATTAGTGAGACTGCCTAACAATTCGTCAACTCCTCACCAATTATAAAGAGTTTTTAAGATTTTACAAGTATATCACCAAGAACCATTACAAGGCGTGAGATAGAGATATTCCTTTCCTAAAAGGCCTTCCCTTAAAGACTTAACAAGTATTTCTAAAGACGCTATTAAGTGTTATTACAATGTTTAAAAATGAGATATCTCCGTTGAGAGTACAAAAGACTTACTGCACGTTTGGTAGCTATTCCCCCTCTATTCCTAGCCATTTATTGTACCTTTGTTTGGTTTGGTTGTGCAGTAAAGAATAAAAATTCCTCAGTAATATTTATGCCTTAAAATGGGTAAAAAGTCTTCTTTAGTTATTACCAATTCTCCTTTTGGTATTGTCTATTCCGTGTCTCATGGAATAATTGTGACATTTATAATGACTAAATTACCCCTCTCAAATTTACAAAATAACAACCCTATCCATATAAAACATTTTTTTTCTCTCTTCCTCCTTTTCCCTTTTTCTCTCAACCGTCTTTCTCTCAGCAGCTCTTCCTCTTTTCCCTGTTTCTCTCAGCCGCTATTCCTCCTCTCCCTCTTTCTCTCAACCGGCTTTCTCTCAGCCACTCTGCCTCCTTTCCCTATTTCTCTCAGCTGTTTTTCCTCTTTTCCACTATTTCACGATTTAGGTTTCGCCAATAACGCCGCCTCTCTCATCCATGGGATAAAATATAATTATAGTTTAAAATAATTATTAAATTATAATTATTTTTGACATTTGGGATAAAATATAATTATGATGGATAATTATCTTTTAAGATAAATATGTATTCAAATTTTAATAAGGATAATTTTAATTTTTTATGAAAATAAATGTTAATATAATCAAGGTTATTTTTGTCTTTTTATCACTTATTCCTTTCTTATTCTAATCTTATTTCTACCAACCAAATAGTACAATAAGTTATAATAACAATTCATGCTCTATTCCATTCACTATACCAAACAAAGTAATAACTATTCTATTCTTACTTTATTTTATTCCCACAGAATAACTATTCTATTTTATTCCTGTCTATTCCGCGAACCAAACGTGCTATTAGTCTCTTAGACAATTCTATCTTGTCATAACCCTATACAAGGTTAGCTCATGAAACTTGGCTTATCTATAGTCCTAATAACATGTTTGATTCGCGAAATAGATAAGAATGAAATAAAAAAGTTATTATGTGGGAATAATATAAGATAGAAATAGAATAGAATAGAATAGAATAACTATTTTATAGTTTGGTACAACGAATGGAATATGATAGGAATAGTTATTGAATTATTGTAATTTTTGGATGGTAAAAATAACTTTGAAATAAGAAAAGAATAAAGGATAAAAAGATAAACATACCCTTCATTATAATATATACTTATTTATTTTTATTTTATTTTATTTTAAAATATTAATAATATATAGTTATTTAAAATATTAATAATTGATCAGTTAAATATTGATATTTTATTTATAATCTAAAGGTTATTATAATTATTTATTTTTATTTTATTTTTTTAAAAGTTAATAATTTATAATTTATTTAAAATATTAATAATTGATAATTTAAATATTTATATTTTGTTTATAAGTTAATCAGTATCATTTTGAAATATTAATATTTTATTATAAATTTAAATGTTATTATAATTATTTGTTTTTATTTTATTTATTTTTTGATATTAAAATTTATAATTTATTTAAAATATTGATAATTGAAAATTTAAATATTAATATTTTATTTATAATTTAATCATTAACATTTTGAGATATTAATATTTTATTTATAAATTTAAATATTTGTATGATTATTTGTTTTTATTTTATTTTATTTTTTAATATTAAAATTTATAATTTATTTAAAATGTTAATAATTGATAATTTAAATGTCAATATTTTATTTACAATTTAATCATAAGCATTTTTAAATATTAATCCTTTATTTATAATTTAAATGTTATTATGATTATTTATTTTTATTTTTCAAATATTAATAATTAATAATTTAATGAAAATATTAATAATCGATAATTTAGATATTAATATTTTATTTGTAATTGAATCATTAACATTTTAAACTATTAATATTTTAGTGGTAAATTTAAATGTTATTAGGATAGTTTTATTTTATTTTGAAATATTAATAATATGTAATATATTTCAAATATTACCAGTGATTCTATGTCTTGCTTTTTATCCTATACTTTATTTGCACTTTCCTTGTGTGGCAGCACCTAAAGTCTTGGAGACAGTCCGTAGGAGCAAAGCCAGCTGGTAGCTATTGGATGAATGTGGAATGATCCCAGCTCAGAGCTTACGGCACGCAAAAAACAGCAAAACATCTGAATTGGTTAATTGAATTTGTTTCCACACATTGTTGGACCACAAGCTAAGGACAATAGGACATATATCTGTACACCAACATGCGGCCCATGCACACTGAATTTATTGCGAGTGCGACAGAAGGCATATAGCCATTTTCCACATTGTTGGCAATCACGTAGAAGCTGCTGGTCAGCCTTGTCTGTATCGATAAGGTTAGGGATAGGACTAGGACTTAGGAGGGCAAGCAGCTAACGAATAATTTGAGCAGAAGCGACGTTCACATCTAAGGTTCCAGGCTTGAGGCATTGCGCTTGTATTCAAGTCCAACCAGAAATTGCCAGGCCAGGCAGACTTAGGCAAGTTGGGACATATATGACGGTCCATGAACCTCAAGAGTGAGCTACCAAAGAGAGCTGATCTGATTGTCCCACGAACTTCTGTTGTCTTATCTCCTAGAGTTTGAATACGAGACTTTAAATTTAAAATTTCAAGTTCTAATTGTTCAGTATTCCCTTGAAAGACATTCGTTTCTCTTCTTGGCTCAAACAACCAGCCGCCAGGACTAGGTATGTGAAAATACATATATAGCATGAAGGCATTCTATCAGAACCAAAGGCCTTCCATTGCGTAAAAATGCAGCTTGATAACGTAACAGTTTATCTGGATGATGAAGACTAGCTTGACCTTTTCATTCCTTTAAAGAAGAGGATATTTTTGTGATTCTTCATTCTTCAAACTTAACGAGAAATCTACCAAACACCAAGGAAACGTATTACGTAGCATGCAAAATCTCATAACGTCTTAATTCATTGATATAAACTGGCATTTGTTGTTCTTATTTAACTATAGAGGGATTTGCAGCATGCAATACAAAATGGCTGTTTCCCTTTTCTTTGTTCTACTGGATTTATGGGATTGGGTGTATAACTACCTTTCCAACAGCACGATTCGTTTCAATGTAAGAGAAAGCCTCAGCAACCTGAGCAAATGGGAACGGCCCCTGGGGATCAACCACTGGCTTCACTTTTCCACTCTCTAAATATGGATTAAGTTTCTTGAGAACCTCTCCATTGGAAGTAACCACAAATCTGAAACCAGGAGGTGTGACAGCACCAGTTAGGGCCACGACACTGCCACCTTCTTTCACTGCCTTGACTGCCCTATCACATTGCCCTGTAATCAAAAAGGAAAACAATCACTTATGCACACCAATCCCTGAAAATTTCAATGCCCTATAATTTAAATTGACAAAGAAATCTAAATTCCATTTAGAGATGCAATGCAAAAAGCAGAGTTTAGAGACACTTCTTTTGTAGCTCTAGCACTAAAAGATTACAGTAATAATGTTTTCGGCAAACTGAATTTCTAGAATATGAATAACCTTGTACAACTGACTCACTGAGACAATCAGGTATATCCTCATTACGTTTTCTAATGATCCTTTATGACTGAAATGATGCTAATACTATTCCAGAAAGAACACTTAGCATAAAATCATACCAATGGCATCATAGACTACATCAAATTTTTCTGGTAAATCTTCGAAGTTCTCCTTTGTGTAATCAATAGCCAAGTCAGCACCTAAGCTCTTCAACAATTCAAGTTTTCCTGTACTTGAAGTGGCTGCAACTTTTGAAGCACCAAATACTTGTTTCGCTAACTGCACAAAAGAGAAGAAGATGAGTGTAAAAAAGCTAGAATGCACAAAGTCTAGTGTGTAGCAATCTAATAGCTTCATAATAACAGTGGTGTGTTATTCCAAACTTTTGAGGCAAGTCCCAGAATCTTTTAAGAAGATTTTGACTTGAAGCTTAGAAGACAATATTTATGCTTTACCACACCAAGCAAACTAACTACCTCTTCCAGAATTTGAATAACAATCAAAACACAACATATGATGAGTAACAGAAGGCAGAAAAACATAAGAGATTGGGCAGAAATAAAAAGAAATTGAATTTGTTATCATTAACCATTTTGAACTCTGAATTAAGTCAAATAAAATGAATATCAGGGATGATATGAGCCAGTTAGCTCAACTGCTCAACAGAATCGTACAGAACATAAGCAAATTGAAGACAAAGTGATGCCAAGTGCAACAAAAAATAGTAAAAGACATTTTTCATGTAGGCATTCAACATTCATAAGATAAAATTAGGTTTTCTCACACCAGAATTCTGTTACAAATCTCAATTGATTTTTTTTGTTTCTCTGGCGGTGGCAGGCCAAAATGATCCATGATTATGGGATGACATACCTGAATCGCTAAGCTTCCAACGCCACCAGCACCATTCAAAACGAGAATGGATTTACCAGCTGAAAGCCCAGTTCTCTCTAGACCCTCATAGGCTGTCTCAATAGCAAGAGGAAGTCCAGCAGCCTGGGCAAAATCCAGATTCTTCGGCTTTAATGCCAGCAGCTTCTCTTCAACGGCAGTGTACTCAGCAAGGGAACCAAACTGTTTAGGCCCTTCTAATGCTTTCTCATTTATGTTTCCATACACTTCATCTCCTTCCTTTAGCTCCTTTACTTGACTTCCAACCTTTACCACAACACCAGCAACATCATAGCCTGGAACAGTCTACAGGCAAACCAAGTTAAAGAAAATTCCATAAATTTACAGATTAAAAGAGCCATGACAAGCAATATGCTTATATCATGTTAAACAGAGTTACAGAGATACAGATAAAAACAATCCTTCAGTAATAGATAGAATATGCAAGCACACCAACAGGGGAAGAAAAACTGAGGGTAATTAAATTCATTATTTTTCGTACTTTTTTCCTTCGAATTCATTCTTCTAAAACAATCTGGCAATCAAAGTCAGTGCATGAATAGCAATATAACAAAAGTTTTCCATTCTATTTCCTCTTAATAAAGGTTCAGACTTTCGGAAAGACATCCTTTGAACTTGTTGTCTAGCATCTGTCACTGGGCAGCAGCAGAAAACTGAAAAGTTTCAATGCAAAAGGAATGAAATTTGCTTTCATTGAGAGTCGAACTCAAGACCTCCCGCTTACTAAACGGGTGCTCTAACCAACTGAGCTATGAAAGCTATCTAAAGTAAAGAACACTGTTACAGTTATGGCTGTAAAACCATCTCCAACTGAAATTTGAGCCTTTACCAATCCTCTCACGCCGCTTCCAATGGCAAAGCTATAATCACCCAAATTAAATCCTACTCTAATATTCCCACATTTCCTTAGCAACCAGATTAATCCCAAATGAAAATTTTGCATGAAAACTAAGGAGAAAAAGAAATACTAAATGTAAAAAAAAAAAAGGAGAAAAGGAGAATTACGGGAAGAGGAGAATCGGTAGCCTTAAACTTGCCCTGTCTTCTCTTTCCATCAACAGGGTTAAGGGCAGCAGCAACCACTTTGATCAAAACCTGATCCTCCTTCACTTGAGGAACCGCCACTTTCTCATCAAACTTCAAAACATCAACACCTCCATATTCCCCATATACCCAGGCCTTCATTTCACTAGGCACAGCCGTCGCTTTCGCCGCTTCAGTAGAAGCAGGTGCAGCAGCTTGAGAGTTGGCAGTGACCCTTAGTGGAACGTAAGAGAGTGAAGGTGGTGCACCCCTAAGAAGAGAGCTGGTACCGCTTAGTTTTCTTCTGTTTTCCGGGAAAGCGAAGGAACGGTCGAAAGAAAGCGGTGGAGAAGTGAAAGTCCTAAGCTGGGGAGTCGTTGATGGAAGTGTGGCTCTCATTTTTCCACTTTGCTCAAAGCCTCAACCCTACCAACGGATAATCTCTTCTGCTTTTTCTCTATCTCTCCTTATTTCTGGTTTATAAAATAAAATCCCAAAACCCCGTTAGTTTATATTGTTTCATTCTGTTTTTGCCGTGCCCGTACGGAGGGGAAAGGAAAACATCAGCAATATCAAACGACACCGCTTTATGTTTCAAATCGAAATCAGAGATGATACGTGTACGGTAAGGATTTGTACTAGTCCAATAGGCTATCAACGGTGGATATTGATGCGAAAACCTTTCCTTCCAAGAGCCGACTTTGGCTGCGACTGCTAAGCTTTGTTTCTTAAACAGATCTCTCTCTACCTTAACTCAGTCTCTCTAATCCCCGATTCGATTTCGCACGCCAAGTCTCCAAGGGTAACTTCGAAACCCTAAATTTTTTAACACTCACATTATTCTTTAGATTTATTTTCTCTCCAATTTGCTGTTTTTCCTTTTCGTATATACTATTTCATTTGATTATTTCACCGTTGTTCTTTAACACTCTGTTAAATTATCAAAAGCGAGAATCAGAGGACTCCGATTCGTTAGATTTGCTTCCTGTTTTTCGCTGATCTGTCTGTTTTCTATGAAAATCTGTAATGTTTAGGGAAAAGTTGGGGATTTTACTGTTCTATTTAAGATTATCGATAATGATTAGAGCTCTCCTTTTTAATTAGATGGAATTTCGCGTTGCTTAGATCCAAGAGTTGCCTTTGGACGCTAAATTTAACTGCTTGTTTTTTCAACCAACTGTTTGGATCATGAGTTTTGCTAAAAAATCAATCGGGGTTTCAAATCATTTTTTCCCTATAAATTTGTATGTTTAGATTTGAAAAATATTAAATATGGAATGTAGTAAAGCATCTGCTATAAGTCCCTCACTTCTTTCATGGTTATTTGGCTTGCTTTAGTGCGGTGCAATTTTTGTTTTTCAATGCTGGTTTTTCTTGTGGTTTTGCGGATGACCTTAATCTCTATTTTCTGTTATTTTTTTATTGTTTGAAAGGTATTGAAATGGCAGAATCAAAGTCCGGATTGAGAAAACCTGTTTTTACCAAGGTTGACCAACTTCGTCCGGGCACTAGTGGCCACACTCTTACTGTTAAGGTTGTTAGTACGAAGATGGTATTGCAGAAGGGTCGTGCTGATGGTCCTCAAGTTCGCCAAATGCGAATTGCTGAATGCTTAGTAGGAGATGAGACTGGAATGATTATCTTTACAGCTAGGAATGAACAAGGTATATTCTTTATAATCTTCTCCTGGCAAGTTTTAATTTAGGGAATAGATTTACATTTTTTATTGGCAGAGGTCTCATTTTCATTCATCTAACTGTGTTGCATTTGTCTATTTTAATGGTTGGAATAATGGTTAAATTTACCACTTTATGTTAGATTTTTTGGTGCAATGTGCCACTTTACCCTGATTTTCGGTGCAATCTCACCATTTGACTATTAAAAGTAGATGTTAACCGTTATAGATGATCATATAGCGATTGTTTAAAATAAAGTATTCACAATATATATTTTAAAAGGAGAAACTCAGTGGCATTGTTGGTATTTTTTATTTTAAAAAATCAAATTATTTTTACTTTTGATTTAACTATTGATATTATCCCTAAGTAGTGTTTGGAAAAAAATGCTAGATTTTTAACATAACAAAACCTAATGGAATAATTGTAATTCTTAATGCAATATGCCTTTTTCATCCAAATAATGGTAAAATTGCATGAAAAATTGAGGTAGAATGATAACAATGCAGCCAAAAAAAAGTAGAGTGGTAAATTTGGAGCCCCCTAATTTAGTTATCCCTTTTATGTTTGATTGTATTTTTTGTTTTGCAATTTGGTTGTCACTCATCACTTTCTGTATTGTTTTTTTTTTCTTTCTTTTAGGTGAGTAATGCACCTTTGGTTTCATATATTTAAACTGCTGGGACTGTATTTGATTTGATTATATTGTTTATTCTTTTTGTGGAAGGAAAGAAGTATAGGTTAGGAATTGGGAATTGCGTACTCTTAACATAGTTTAGTTGACTAGGAGGTCTATTTGGGGTTACTAATAGTGACATTGAATGAAATAAATGCTAGTTGTGCTGATGTAGAACAAATAATTCAGAGTAATAGCATCCAACAATAGTATTAAAATTTCAATTGTATAAACTCAAATCTCAATGTTAGATAATTAATAATCAAATCTAACTGCCAAATTTAATTAAATCTCTCTCTCCCTCCCTCTCTCTCTCTATCTATATATATATATATATGTTGAGTTTATATTTGATGCACTGATAATGTAACGCTTTTATATGTAACCAGGCTATCAAATGATGTCACATCATTATATAAATAAATTTACAATTTTTAAGGGCTCAAAACTAAAATTTTTCTTTCAGAAATACATAAAAGATAAATAAAACTTTCTTTTTTCTCTCCAACTCCCTCAACCGTTTCTTTTGTTCTTCTCTTTTTTTTTTCTCTCTCCAACTCCATCTTCTTCTCCTCTTCTTCCATTAAGAGCAAGTTTGGGATTATTTAGCAATTGGGATTATTTTGCAGCCTTATTCTCGGTTGTGAGTTGCATTTGTGCACAATTGAATGACAAGTGCTCAATCTCACATCTGTTCTATTGGTTAACTGTGACATTCCTTTTACACCAATCTGCAGCTGAAGAAGAATAGCTATAAACTGACAGATATCTGGATTAATATTGTTTATTTAAATATGTTAATTCTAGAAATTCTTGAACGGGAAAACTTTTCGACTTTGTGCTATAAGCAAAGCAAACAACTTGCTGAATAGTCAAGCCAACTAGTTAGGCAACATAAATATTGATTTATATGTTTTAGTCACAACGGCAAGTAATTTTTAAGAGGATACTCAATGATTAAAATCTGAAATTTCAATATGAAAGCTTCTAGGTTGGAAGGAGAGAATTATATCACATTGTAACCCAAAGCCCGATGTAGAAATCACTTAAATATCACTAGAGCCTATAGGTAAAAGTTACCTTGAAGCCTTTGATTTTCCTAGTGTTCTTGAAGTTGCACAATTTTGTTAAGTTTGCTCTTAATGGAAGAAGAAGAGGAGAAAAAGAAGACGGAGTTGGAGAGAAAAAAAGAGGAGAAGAAGAAGAAAATGCTTGAGAGGGATTTGGAGAGAGAAAAAAGGAAAATTGTATTTATCTTTTATGTATTTTTTTAAAAATTATTAATATCTGGTTTTAAGCCTTAAAAATTTAAAATTTATTTTATAATGATGTGACATCATTTGATGGATTGACAGTGTATAGAAGTTATACACTGTCAATGCATCAAATATATATATATATGTATAAACTTCATTAACCTAGGTTTTAAGCTTATAGAAACAAAGCTTACCCAACAAACAAATAAAGTACAACAAAATAAACCAAATAAATGCCAATTACCGTGCTTCTTTCCTGCAACATAACGCAACACAACAGATTCCCCAAACAGTGATTCACTACCTCAGTTTGACCATTAGTAGGACATTCTTGAAGATACATGGATTAACTTCATCAACCTCGGTTTTAACCCTATAGAGAATAAAGCTTACCTAACTAAGAAATAAAGTGCAACAAAATAAACCAAATAAATGCCAATTAGCTTGCTTCTCTCTTGCAACACAATGCAACAGATTCCCTAAACAGTGATTTACTACTTCAGTTTGACGATTAGCAGGACAGTCTTGCCAGTTTTGAAAGAATGTCTATTCTAGTCCTAAATTTAGGAAATAGGATTTAATCTATTTATGAGTTTTTGGATTAAGACGCAATTTGCCATTATGCTATTGGTTAATGTTAAATTTGCAGCTGTAATTTCATTGAATTTTGCTACTATACAAATTTTGTTGATTATTGGATTAAAAGTAATGAAAATCAATGAAATTTGCCTCTTGCATTAATGAAATAATTTACATACTTTCAATATTGTTAAATTGGCTTAAAACCTAGGTTGATGAAGCTCATATATAATTGATTAATGAAATTGGATTTGGGGATTAGGTTTTGATTAATGATATTTGATATTGAGATTTGAGTTTATACTACTGAGATTTCCAAACTATTGTTGAGCGTTATTTTTCTCGATTGTTTGTTTTACATCATACTCCTTTAGCTATCACATAGTATTAGTGTAAATTGGTCAGGTTAGTGTTCAGATTCCATGGCCGATACAAATTCACACTTTTTAATGGTATGTATACTTGTAGACATATATGCAAGATTTTGGTGATTTTTATCCATTCACTATTCCTCCTCTTTTTTGTAGAAACTTTATAAACATAAAACACCAATTCTTTGATGCTGTTATGAGAATATTGGGCATGACAGTTGAGCTTGTGATGTGCCAGAGCCAGCTCTATAGTTCCAAAACTGGCTTGGTTACCAATACTTATAAGGAAACAGAATTGCACATTTAAAGTATGATAATTTTGGTTTTTGTTGCTAGATGGAGGAGTAAAAATATTCCGAGTGGTCTCCTTCAGACAAGGCTTCCAGCCTGTATTTTATTTATCTGTAGCTATATAAAAAATTTTAGTGCTAAAATTCCATTCACATCTACTCATTGCAAACAATTTATGACATCAATTATGATGCCAGAGCTTATTGGTGTCTTGTTGAGTGTAGATAGATTACAGTTGAGGTGTTCAAGTGCATTCTGCTGCATATACTTTGATAGTATTCAAAATTTTTTCCCCTTTCTTCCTGATGCAAAACCTCTTTTCGGATTTAATTTGAATTGTGGAGGAAACTTCATATGAAATCTTATCCTCAATCTTTTGAAGATTTATGCGGATGGTTTTATCAGATAGTAAAGACAAGGGACCATGTTTTATTTATTCAATGATTAAGTCTGTTAACTAGAACTAGCATCATCTTTTTGTTTTGCAGTGGACGTAATGAAAGAGGGTACTACTGTAACTCTTCGTAATGGGAAAATTGACATGTTTAAAGGATCAATGAGGCTTGCAGTGGACAAGTGGGGTCGTGTTGAGGTCACTGAACCTGCTAGTTTCACTGTGAAAGAAGACAACAATCTGTCACTG